CCCCAAAACCCCAAAACCCCAAAACCCCTTAGCGGTACTTTATTATTGAAATGATTTCGAAAGTAAGCATTGAGAGAGTAATTCCGCCAAATATTGAAATTCTAGGAAGAATGTTTACCCTCAAAGCTCCTTTACTTCGCACATCTCTGTTCTGATGCTTAATTATGATATACAAACTAGACTTGATGTGGAAACATGTATCTAAATCAAACAATTATCAGTCCCTCAGAACTGAAGAGGAATAAACAGAAGAGATATTTAGAAGAGACTGACTATAAATGGGCCGGAATTGATGGGTTTGATATCGAGGTAAACCTTGATGATTATCCTCCTAAAGGCACAACTGATGACGAAACTAACCTGACAAACTCTGTGAATTTTGAAGATATCCAAGAGGATGATCAGAACAATGATGATTATGATTTTTATACTCAAAGAAGGGATTATTGGCTCGAGGATAAAATTGATAACGATATATCAACCCATATCTACTTTCTGACAGTGATGAGCAAGCTGAAAGAACAGGAAAAAGAGTATAAAGATAGATATCTTTGAGACCCAGAAAATGAATTTATTTATGGCATGAAAGAGCAGAAGAAAATGACTCTTGTGTTGGATCTTGATGAAACCCTCATTTGAGCGAAGCAAACTCCCTTAGAGTGGTATGATCATATTGTTGAAGTAGAAAACTCTAATAGTGATAAACAGAAATACTATGTCAGTTTTAGACCTTACTTGTTTGAGTTCCTTGAAAAGATGAGCAAAATATATGAGATAGTTATTTGGACAGCTGCAAATAGACAGTATGGGGAGCAGATGCTCAATCTTATAGATCCTACACGTGATTTTATTAGTTATTCATTGTTCCGAGGTTCCTGTCTTAATTTCCAAAATTGATTCATAAAGGACTTATCATATCTAAATCGACCGTTGAGTCACACATTGATATTGGACAACTCATTTATCTCATTCTCAGGTAATCTTAGTAATGCGATGCCTATCCTGGATTACTGCGGAGACAAGCATGATGTGGAGCTTAAATATGTTGCTAAAGATCTTGAAGACATTTATAACAAGGTAGCCAATAGTCTGAACCCAATGAACCATGATGTTAGAAAGGTTTTGAGGAAGATGTATCTTTTGGAGCAGAGAGTGAGGGAGTTTGTGTTTTTGAATCCCAGAAAAGTAATTTTTCAGTAATTTTTGGAGGAATTGGGGATATCATTTGGTAGATGAGAGAATTCAGGGTCTGTAGGTGAGATATGAATGTTTGGATGTATTTTAAGAGGTTGAAAATAGAATTAACCCAACTTAAGTTTTGGGGTTTTGGGGTTTTGGGGTTTTGGGG